TTTCATTCAAATAAAGCACATTAAGTGTAACTACATCATACCAAACTCTGAAGAGTCTAAAACCATCAAGCCATTGGTACCATCGCTTGGCAATGCCTTTCAGGAATGATCATCTTTTCTACTTTGTATTTAAGTCAGCTATTTTGTTTAACAACTCAACAAACTGCAGAGCTAAACCAAATCCTTCATTTCCATGAAACGCTGGACAACAAGGAAATATAGTACTGAAAACAGATAAAATGCTTTCAAATGACACCACGACTTTTCAGTGAGGATAAAACCACAGGTGAAGAGAATGACCTTGTCTTTCCCTCTTTCTGGAGAGTCTACCATTAATACAAGAAAGCATTAACTGCTTACACCTTGGGATAACCTGTGAACTATCACAGAGCCAAAGAGACAGTTCCAGGAATGCTGAGACTTTGTTTCCAATAGATTCATTTCCTGTTGATCAACTTATGGGAATTGTACCAGAGCTGTTGTGCGAGCTCATCTTTTCTTCAGCATGGGAGAAGTCACACAAGAAAGGTGCACTACAAATGTCCTCCTCGAGAGAAAAGCTTTCCATAATGTTCTCCAAAGAGATAAACTCTTGACCGCCGGGGCTACACCTGCAGCTCAAATGGTTCAACCACCAACAAAAGCTTTTCCCATGATAAGAAAAGACGACTCCAACCCAGGCTTTCCTGTAGTTGGTATTGGTAGAGTACTTCTTCCCTTACCTCTCCAGCTATTCCCACAATGAGCACCTAAAAACATAGATGGAAATTAGATCAGCACAATCACATCATGCAATTTCAACTTAACTTCCTTGGAATCTCTCTTCCTTTCTCAAGTTCAGCTGAAAATGGCCAGCAGAGCAAAAAAAACCACCTGGGTGTTAACATACAGACATAGGCACATTGACAGAGAGAAACCTAAGAGCAGGTAGCAGACCACAAATCTCTAGGAACTAATCTGAAAATAATTATACTCAAGTTTTACATTCCATTATCATGAGAGTAGACAACACTGACTTAAATACCACGCCTCCAGTGAGGCTTAAGTCCCAATGAGACCTAAGAGATGCTCTTCTTAGGCAGGGTCTTTATAAGGAAACTCTTGTCTCAGAAGAAAGGGAGAAAAGAGTTTCAGATGGATTTGGAGGATTCATTAGCAAGGATTTCATAGCCTTAACATCACAGTTTGGATCAGGGTGGTTTGCAAACGTTGTCTTTCAGCAGTTCCAAGTACCGAGCACGGTAAGATTGCATTGTATGAAAAAAACAGCAGTTACACGGTATGCTCCCTTATGGTGAGCCGCTGCCATTTTCAAAACAACGTATGTAACTACAGTTAAAATATAAAATGTGCATTTCATTATTTATTTATGGTTACTTCTACAAAAGAGCTGTGCACACCAATTAGGAAGCAAGGTAAACTAGTTGGCGTGATTTCCATACTGCCCCAGGTAAGACCGTTTGCAGCCCCTGAATTTCCAGCTAACTCCTGCATGCCCCTACGCCGTGCCACAGCCTGCTGCACAGATGTACCCTCAGACCACTTCCCATGAGCCAATCTTGAAAAATCATATGGCATGAAATTAGCTCAGATGCGCACTCCTTAAAGCTGAAAGCAGCAGATACCTTGCAAACAAGCCCAGCCAGAGGCAGCTGAATATTATAACCCACTGCTAGCAAATCTCTGCTTCACTGGTTTTGCCTTTCTAGACACATGCCCCATATTTTCCCAATTACATTGGCTACATGCTTTCCACTGGTGTTGCAATAGGAGTTACAGACATCTTTGCATGGCATCTCCAACCGCTTGTTTTTACTTTTCCTCCTTTGAAGTGCCACTGATTATTTATGATCCACTCAGGGACTCAAAAGACTTTCTCTCCATAGAGGCCTCTACATGTAAACTGAAGTCTGTTCCTAGCAACAGATTATTATTACTCATGTATTCAGTCGAGCCAACGCCATGAACAGAAACAGCAGATTTTTATCTTTGGTGAGCTAGTCCAGAGGAAGTAGCTCCACAATGCAGACTGACTGAAGACCTTTTTCTTTCCTGGTTATTAACAAAGATCTCAGTTTATTTTACATTCAGAAAGAAGCAGTAACATTCAGAAGTGCAAGCGCTGAGCCTTGCAAAGTGATGCTGAGCCACCTTCTTTTGGCAAACTATTTTTCTGAAAGTCTGTTGCAGTCTCCCTAAAAGCAAATTGTTGGGATCCATCCAAGTCATGATAATATGACCTAAAGAATTATCACGGAAAATTTACATCAAGTTGGTTTGGGTTTTGCTTTCTCACAATATTTTCTTTTCCCCTCACTTTTGATGTAATCACACCTCTGTTAAATTAGAGAAGTTCACACAGCACCTAAGTTTGGTGGTCATGCTTTCTCCTCAACACTTCATTTACAAGGGTTGCCCGATTTTTTCACCCAGGGTGGGTGGTGGGGAGGAAGGCCTGTTCAAAGCATATATTTTCCAAGATCTTTGCCCTAAAATGCTCTATGTCCTTCAGGTCCTACTCCAGACTGGAGGGAGTTCATCCCTTCCACATTTAAAATGCT